CCCCGGCTGCTACTTCTAGAAGGGCCTGCTTGCAAGTTGGGCTGGGCTGTATCCGGGAACACAGCTTCTAAAGTGTTCCTGCACCAATAGGAAAGGCTCCCTAAGTGACAGGGGTGCTTCCCTGTAACCAGCCTGTATGCGCGGCCTGGTGTGTGCCAAGCGCCTGCCTCGCTCTGGGGGGCCTGGGGTTCTGGTGTGTGCCAGGCAGAGGTGCCCACGTGACCGGCCCCCGGTGGACCCTGGACGCTGCATCTCTACTGGGCGTCCCTGGGCCTCACCACCGCACGCGGGTGGCTGCTCGTTGGGCGCTCTGGGTGGTCCTCCCAGAGGAAAAAGGTACAGGCTGTCTGCACGTGGATCCCTCCGGGCGCCCATCTCTGCGGGCCCACCGTGTGTCTGTCCTGTGTCGCTGGAACAGTTCTGAGCCAGGAGGACACAACGTTATGCTGAGTCCCGGGACTTACCGACTGCTCGCGACCCGGGGACCCTGAAAAACGTGCATGGCCGAGATCACGTGAACCTGCAGCCCCAAAGCTTCTCACCCAGTGGGAGCTGGAGAAACGGGCTTCATTTCTGGGAGGCAACCTTCTCTGACCACCCCGTCTAAGTGGCCCTGGGTCACTTGCTCTCTTGTCACCTGACCTCCCGCGTCTGTCTGAGTGGGAAGCTGCCTAGTCACTCATCTGTCCCCTTGTTTCTTGTCTGTGCTCCCCCCACCCAGAGGGGCTCCACCCAGGGCCTGGCCATCTGCTCAGCATCGCGGCCTGGGGGGGTACCCTGTGCTCAGAACTTGTCTGTTGGGGGGGGTGTCCAGACCCCCCTCTCCCCCTGTCTTGTGTTTCGTGGCCACTTAGCATTCTCCTAACGCATGAGCAGCGCCGGAAGGGAGCAGGAAGCCAGGAAACATGATTTATCAAGACACAGGCAGCATCACCTTGTTTTCCAAATGAAAAGCGTCCAGAGAACTTACCCTACGTTCTGACAAGACCCAGGAGAGATGCGGGAATTCTCTCTCTTTTATGGAATTCCAGAGTGAGTATGTGACACTCATCTCCAGTAAACTTGAAAACATCGACTGTTTTACAGGAGGATAAAACTGGGCCTGCGACCCGTTCAGCCTTCAGTGGAGAGAAAGCTCCCTGACTGAGCAGGGTACTCTGTTGCCTACACTGGGAACCTTCCATGACGATAAATTCAATGCCTCTGGGATCAAAATTCCCCTCAACCACTCAAATTCAAACCTCCCTGACCCCCACCTCTGCATCCTAAACACAAATGTGATGGGAGGGCATTGAAATTCACCGCTGTTAGTACCGCTGCCTTTGTCAGAAGGGAAGTTCCAAGTACATCACAATGTCAACAAGAGGTCACTGGATGAAAAGAGGGGAAACAAGGGCCTGGCAGACCCCAGCGTAGACCCCAGAGCCAGACCCCTGGGGCCGAGTCCCGGCTCACCGCCCGGCTGGGTGACCCACTAAGCCCCTCCACCCGTGTTGTCTGTAGAACGGGGCTCAGAACGTGTGCGAAGCCACGCTGGTCGGCACCCGTCAAGGGCTTAGGACGAGGTCTGGCGTGTGGGGTGGACGTGGGAGACGCCGGCTGGCCTGTACCGCCCCAAGGCCTGCTAGGCTGGTCACCGCCCTGGGTGTGGTGAGATGCTCTGTCACACACCTCCACCCCCGACCCTTGCCAGCGCCCCTTCTCCATCCCGCTGCCGTGCGAGGGAGGGAGCGAGGGAGGGAGGAGGTCGGTCGGCCCAGGCGCTTACCTTTGCCAACGGAGGGAGCCAGTCCGTTCATGAAGCTCCGGAAGGGCTTGCCGGGGGACGAGGGTGCGTCCAGGGAGCTGCCTCCCTGCAGGTCGATCTCGCCCGCGTGCTCCCGGAGCCGACCCAGGTCCCGGGACAGCAGGCTGAACTGCTCACTCTGCGTGCGGCATTTCTCCTCTAGCTCCCGTGCCCTGCGCTGCGCGCGGAGACCCGGACCCGCGGTCAGCAGGCGGCCGGGCCTGCCGGGGCCCCGCGCGTCTGCGCACAGGCGTGCGTGTGTGTGTGCACGCGTGTGCACAAGAATGCATGCCACGTGTGCATGGGGGGACGGCAGTGCGTGTGTACTGTGTGCACGTGTGTTGCATGGGTGTGCGCAGGACTGAGTGCCGTGTGTGCATGTGTTAATGACAGTGTGTGTTTGTGTGTGCAGGAGGGCTGCCTCTTTGCTCCACGGGAGAACGGTGTCTGAACAAACTAAGCTTCCTGTGCACCCTGGCCGTCGGCCAGGTTTCCTCTCAGGGCGAACGTGGGAAAGCACAGGAGCCGAGAAACCTTGCAAACACTCAGATCCCAGCAGCCAACAGCGGGTTGTTCTGGGCTCTGTGTACAGCCCGGGCGCTTTGCGGTTGGCACGCCTCACTGTAGCTGCTTGAAATTTGGAGCGTGAGGCGGTGACACAGCCCAGCTTTGCGGACAGCTCCGTTGCTAACCCCTGGATGCAGTTTTCTCGTAAGCTGCAGAACCCCAAAGCACCCCGCTTTGGCATTAAAGGGAAGTGCTGTTTGCTGGACTGGCTTAGCAACATCGCTGCCATTTGCAGACATCGGAGACATCTCGGGAGCACCAGGGAGCTGGGAGCGTCCCCTGGGCACACGCGGCAGGGAAGGGTGCCCTGGGCAGCTCCCCCCATTAACCCCCAGGGAGCTGGGAGTGTCCCCTGGGCACATGCGGCAGAAAAGGGTGCCATGGGCAGCTCCCCCCATTAACCCCCATCTCTGCCTGCTCTGGGTTCTCAGCTGGGTGGGCGTGACCCAGCCACTCTCCTCTCCCTGGGGAACCGTGGTGCACACTCCCTACACCTCCTCCCCTGGCGCCCTTTCTCCTGCTGTCAGAACTCCCTGCCCTGGGCCACGGGAGGAGGGGCACAGGGAGGATCCGCTCTGCCCCCTCCCCTGCAAGCTCCCTTCCTGGCACATTCCAGTAGCTCCCTGATTACTTCTCATCTGGCCCCGTGACTAGATCATTTATGCGCCAAGCTTGTGCTTTCTGGTTCCCTGAGACACCCACAACGCGCTGCATAGCACTGGCACATGGCAGGTGCTCTGTAACTGTTTGCTGAAGCAGAGAAGAGGGGACCCCCTGATTTGCAGGCATCACGTTCCTACAGGCAGCAGCTTCTTTCATCTGCATGGAGGTCCTGCCTCGTCTCCCTTCCTCAGTCTGTGATAAGTGGAAAATCCCATCTGCTGTATTATTAACCGTGGGCACCGTCTGGCTTCCTCCACTAAAATGTCAACTCCACAAGGGCAGGAATTTTTGTCCGCTTCTCTACCGCTGTGTCCTCAGCACTCGGACTAGAGCTTGGTACCAAGTCGGGGCTTGAGAGATGTTTGGTCTCATGGCGGTGTGCACGCAGGGATGCAGACAGCGGTAGACCGATGCTCTCTTCCTCTTCCCGCCCCCCCGCCCTTCCCTGTCCCTCCTCCACTGGTGCTAAGCTTTTCAGCTCCTTAGGCCAGAATGAAGTGCTGTTTATGTCTGAGATCATGGAATTCTAAAAATAGACCTAACAAATCCCAAACCAATAATTAATTTCTTTGATGCATTTAACAAAATCAGCAGGATTCTTCTCTTAAAAGGCTGAATGAGCTTGGCTACGATTGCTGTCACCACCGAGGAAGGCACAGAAGTGACGCCGGGCGCCCCTGGGCACAGGTGGGGACGTGGCGAGATCCGCCTCCCGCCCGGGCACCCCCCATCGGGGAGACGCGGCACCCGCCCAGGAGCAGCGGTGACCCCAGGAGGGCGGCATCAGATGCCTCAAGGCCAAGGGTTCTGGCTCTCCCTGCTCAGCCCTGAAGACTTTGCTCCAGGGCTGAGCGACAGGTCCTCAGGCAGGGAACAGTCGCCAACAACCCAGCCTCAGGCAAGAAGGGCATTAGAAGAGGCCTGAGCTCACCTGTTCATCCAGGTGTGCCGCCAGGTGCCCTGGTGGCGTGTGTGGGAGGGTGTCAGGTGAACGTGGAAGAACACAAATGCCATTTAGATGGCCACATCCTCATTGTAATGTGCACAAGAAAAAGACAACTGGTAATCAGGTCCTTCATGTCACGCGTGTGTGAAAAGTGAACCAACCCAAAAAGCAGATAGATTTTTCATTGATGTAACATTCGTGAAACGACAAGACTAAAGCAGTGGAGAGCTGATCAATGGTTGTCAGGGTCTGGGGTTGGGGGGAAGGTCCGAGTACTAGGAATTAAGATGAGGGCGTGTCTTTGGGGGGTGGAGCCGTCTGTATTCCCGGTTGCGGTTCATGAATCTATATGTACCATCAAATTCCGTAGAATTAAGCATCAAAGGAAGGGCGAAGAGTGAGTCTCTGTAGTTTGGTTACTGATAACTGTGCCTGTGTCAGCTTCCCGGTTTCAACAATGTACTCTGGTCACCTACGACGCTGTCCTTGGGGAGGTGGGTGAAGGTACACAGCGACCATCTGTGCTATTTTTGTAACTTCTCGGGAGTCTCAAAATTATTTCAAAATAGAGAGTTTTAGAAAGTGAACGGATTTAAAGAAAATACGAAATAATCACGGAGAAAATCTCAAAGGCGGTACACGAAAAGCTGGCGTTGTGGGAACATCAGATCAGGAGCCTTGAGCGTTAGAGCGGCCGAGGTCTCAGGAGCCCACATGGAGGTCGAGCATCCGAGGTGCCTGGAAACAGGCCCCTGGCGGGGGCTCTTGATTTGCTGGGACCGGGGGCGGGTCGCACAGAATGGAAGGAGGGCAGGCTGTGTGCTCCCGGCAGCCCCTGTGGGACTCAGGCCAAACCAGAGAGAAAGGTCGGGGCTCACGCAGGGGTGCTGAATTGCACGTTTTAGGTGCTACAGTGAACTCCATCTCCTGGGCACCACTGCCGGCCGGCCAGGACCCCAACTCCTGGAGGGCCTCCTTCCAGGGAGCGTTTCTTTGTTCAGGGTCCCCTTCACTGATGGGGACTGTGGCAGGCGGTTCTCCCCGGCAGCTGGCACAGGACAGCCTGTAGAAAGGGGGCCGGCTCTGATGTGACTGATGAGGGGAGGGTCCTGGAAGCAGGTGGATCGGAGCTGACGTCAAACCATCTTTGTAAATTGAACATCCCCGGAGGTGGTGGGAGATGCCCATGAGAGGAGGAGCGAGGCAAACCCCCAGGATCTTGGGGACCAGGGGGCTGGTGGAGGAAGCTCCTAAGGGGCAGAGAAGAGGGATGTGCCACTTCGTGCCTTCTTGTCAACAAGCGTTTCATAATACACGTCTGCACACGTGCGACAATTTGGTTTGAGACTTGCTTCCATTGTGACTCGGGAGTGAAGTTGTGGGGCTAAGCCTCTCCCACCTGGCATTTCTACCCCAAAGATTCTAAGAGTCCTGCGTGATCACACCTAATTCTTTGCCCCTCTCTTATCAATTCCTTGCTTTGTTTCTCCTCTGGGTATCCGAGGACACGGCTTCAAGACAGCAGGATGACGATTCCCAAAAGTCAGGCAGCTTCCAGATGCCTTTTCTCACTAATTTCGGGGGGAAACGGTCTGAACAACTAGGAGATGAGGCGTAGGGACCCGTTAAACCGGAAGAACATCCCACAGGTGAGCGCTCCCTCTGGAAAGTTCACCAAGCTTCCCTGCTGTTTCCCGCTTCCAGGAAGGAAGCAGGTGTCCCTTCCAGAGCCTCCGTGGACACCCTCCCCGGGCCTGGCTGTAGCTGGCGGCGGCTGGGTCTCTGATGCTGAGCCCGACCGCTAGGGCTAAGTGCCTCCGATGGTCCCCAGGCTGCTACCAGAAGGAACTGCTTCCAAGTGATGCAGAAAGCAAACAGCAAGCCCACTGTTGGGTCCGGCCAGCTTACTGGGGTGTCAAGATTGATTTCAGGATTCAGGGCACCATCAGCTCCTGGCTGGGTGGCGACACCGGTGGGGCGGAACCACGCTCGCTTGAATTAACCAGTCTGCTTGAGTGTCCCCATCCTGGTTTGTCCCGGCCCCGCTTCTCCTCACCCTAACCCGCCACCTGAGCATCGAGAGCGGAGGGCGGCTGCATTCGGACCACAGCGGGGACAGACGGCACCGTCATCCGGCAAGTAAACTCCAACTGGAATCAACAGCAGAGACTTGCAGGTGTGGCTGTGGGTATTTATAAAGACGAAGGAAAACACATTCAAAGATGCACCTGCCAGCATTCCCAAGGTCCTCCACTCTGTATGCTTCATCTGTTTTCGTTTCTGTTTTGCGGTACGCGGGCCTCTCACTGCTGTGGCCTCTCCCGTCGCAGAGCACAGGCTCCGGACGCGCAGGCTCAGCGGCCATGGCTCACGGGCCCAGCCGCTCCGCGGCACGTGGGATCTTCCCGGACCGGGGCACGAACCCACGTCCCCTGCATCGGCAGGCGGACTCTCGACCACTGCGCCACGGGGGAAGCCCTGCATGTTTCATCTGACTTCCAGGCTTCATAAAGGGCAGCAGACGAGTAGGGCACTGTGCCCTGTAGTTAGTGTCCAAACCAGGACCATTTTGAGGGTCCAGGGGTGCTGTGAACACTCACGCCAGCACAGCCAAGCCAGGGGCGTCCTAGGCAGTGCGGGAGTGATTTGGGAGTAAGTTGTTCTGTGCGGTGTCTTTAGGGGTAAACAAGATTTGTGGTGCTATTCATTGCTTAGTGAGTACCTACTGTGTGCCAGGGCCCACCGGGGGCTCTCTATGCCTGAGTGCTGATGGCCAGAGAGATTCCCTGGGGTAAGTTGGTGTGAGCCCGTTGCATGGGTAAGGAAGACAAGGCCAGATGGACTCAAGACCAAGGTCACACACCCAGTAAGTGGCAGGACACACCCAATCCTCTCTGACTCCAGGATCTGGGCTGTGTCTAGATCCCAGAACCCCCACTCCCTCATTCACTCAGAGGGTGTGGAGGAAAGTCACATAAGCTCACTGGGCCTCAGTTTCTTCATCTATAAAATGGGAGAGAAGCTTGCCTTCCAGAACTATGGCAAATTGTAAGTCCAGACTCTGGCGGGCACGGTAGGGGCCCCATAAGCAGAAACTAAGATCTTTTGTCCCTGTGGGCAAAGGACAGAGCCAGAGGGATGGCTAACTAGTGACCCAATCACCCTTGTCTCTCAGACGGCCGAACTTCTGCTTTCAGCAAAGGTGATGGTGCATTTCAGCCCATGCAGGTATATTAGAATTTCCCCACTTTTTATCATCAGCGGGAGACATGGAGGGTCTCTCCATACTCGTCCACGGTGATGCCCAGTTAAGAAACAGCCTCCACTGCCAGGTTAATACCCACACCCGCGCCCAGCTCTTGCCTGCAACTATAATATACACAGAAAAACCCCATCAATTCATCTGAACCGGCTCTGAATTCCAGGACCTTGACAAATAATTGCTCTGAATTCTAGAATCTTTACAGGACAATGCCATCTTGATACTAAAATGTAACAAAGTAATAACCAAGGGGAGACTTGGGTGAAGATGACTTTTTAATTAATGTTTCGCATCCTTTAATGTGTGTGGAGTCAGCACTATTAAAACACAAGTGTCTTAAACGTTTGCTTTGGTTCACGCGATTAATGCCTTTATCAAACTGTCCAACTAAAGCACAGTGAATTCTGCTGCTGGTGGGTCTGGATCATTTGAGTCTTTTGTTTCTGTATAGACAAGCATTAGTCACAGAGGCACCCTGTGCACAGATAAACACCTTTCACTGATAAGACTTCAAAACCTGGGGCTTCCCATTGACTGTAGCTTTTGTCCTCCCAACTGCGGTTGGGAAGGGGAGCGTTAGGGAGATAAAGCTGGAGCCAGAGGTAGTCCTGGTCATCCCCAAATACCTGCCCCAGTTTCTTTGTCCCTAACAACCTCGTCCTCCAGCTAAGACTCATGGGCACGGGGTAGCCAAGTCTACCCTAGGGAGGCAGAGACCCCATCCCCACAATTCCCGGAGGACAGAGAATTCTTAAGAGATTTAAAGGCAAAGCATTAAGTATAAACTTCTTTATCTGTGCACGTCTCAGATTCTCAACTTAGCTAATATTCTGTCTGTCCACTTTAGTACCAAAATTGCATTGCCCTGTAAAGATTCAAGAATTCAGATGTGGCAGAGCCATGCCACCAGGCCCCCACCCAGGGAGACTGCACTTCCCAGCCTCCCCTGCAGTGAAGCGGGGCTGGGTCACTAGCTCTGGCCAGCGGCCTGTAAGCAGAGGTGACACCTGTGCCTTCTGTAGCTGAGACACGGAAGAGGTCTCCCTGCCATGGTGACCAGGAAGCCGTACGCTCTGGATGGCACAGCCTCAAGATGCAGGGAGCCTGGATCCCTGAGTCACCATGTGGAGTGGAGCTTCGTGGAGTGTTCCTATATCTGCAGTGGCAAGAAATGAACCTTTATGCATTGAGTGTGAGACTTTGGTGTTTG